GGGATGGGATCCACGGGATGGGATCCATGGGATGGGATGGGATCCATTGGATGGGATGGGATCCATGGGATGGGATGGGATGGGATCCATGGGATGGGAATTATAGGATGGGATGGCATGGGATGGCATGGCACAGCCACTGTGCCCATTGTACACAGGATGGGATAGCACAGCCCACTGTACCCGTACCCACTGTACACGGATGGGATGGCACAGCCAGCCATGCCCATTATCCATGGGATAGGATGGCACTGCCCGCTGTGCAGGGTGCAGACAGGAACCGGGCACTCACCCCACTGGGTGTCCCATCCCTGCTCAGGGGTGGTGGCACATGGGCCACCCAAAGGTGTCAGGATCAGCACAGTCCTGTAGGATCCTGCAGAAGTGCAGGAACGGGGAGATCCCTCTGCAGTGGCTGCAGGAGTGAGGGAGCACCTGGAGAGGGCTCGGAGGAGCTGTGGATCCCCTCGGATGAAGGGATGGAGGGATGRATTCTCCTGTGTGYRTTCCTGTGCTGTTACCATGGTACCCCTGCACAGGGTGATTTGGAAAGGAAGGAAGAAAGGAGGAGATAAGAATGTTTGCTTCTCTCCTGTTGGGAGAAATTCCTGGCTGCTCCGTGGCTGATCCTTGCAGAATCTTCAGGAAACTGAGGGGCTCTTAACCCAGCTGRGTGCAACCCTCAGCTGGATACCCAGCCCTCAAATCCTCTTCAAAAATTCAATTCTGTTTTCTGCACTGATTTCACTGCACTGCCCTGAACTTGCTGATGTAAACAGGGGCCTGTTGATGCTTTTCAGAGCACATCAAAAGTAGCTTCTGGTTACTTGTGTTGGGACAGGCAGATTCATGACTGCCAGACAGACTTCCACAGGCTGTTTGTGGCAGCTCAGGATGTGACTTTGGGGTCTGAATCCATATGGAAAGCAGTGATCAGCCCCTTCTGCATCTCCAGTGCTGCAGGGGGAGAAAGAAATGAGGACCAGAGCAGGGAGGCATCTGCAGCCTGCTCCTCTCATTTTCTCTCCTGCCATTAAAGCTCTTTGCAGGAAGCTGTTTTCCTTGAAATTGCTGTGATTTTCTTAAAAGGTGAATCTTTGACCCRGCTGAATGAGCAGATCTGGTAAATGAAGAGGCTGTGCTGCACCTCTGAGTGCAGTCCTTACCCCTGGAAAATGAGAGCCGGGTGCCCTGCTGGAGGCAGGGATTTGTTTGTGCTGAGTKCCTGCCAGGCTGCTGCCATATGGAAAGCAATCATGTACCAGAGCTGGGGCTTTGGTGATTTTATGAATGGCACACTCAGGATCACAGAGCTGCTCTTTAAAGGCAGCCAGTGTTTGCAAATATCTGCCCTCTCCCCTCGCACGGAAGGAAGGCGCGTGTTTAATCCCATTGTTTTGCTATGGATTATTCCGTGGATCATTGGACACAGTGTGTCAGGGATGTTTGCTCTCCAGGTCAGCAGCGTGCACGGCTGCTGCTTTCTGCTGCTGYCAGGGTTTAGCATTTGGAATGAGCCTCGGGACTTTATCTGTGTGCGAGGAGAGGGGAAACAAAAATGTGAGCAGCTCTGAGCACCTGCTGCGTGTGCTTGGCTGGGAAATGGGGGTAGAGGCAGGGGTGGATTGTGTTAATGAACAGGGATGGCTCGGTCCAGGGAGGGTGATTTGTCTTGCTCTCCTAAAAATGGCAGTGCTGGAGTGCTTTAAGGAGTGAGAACGCTGCTCTTGGCCCTGTGGTAGAGTGTGGAGCTGTAAATCCATGCAGCAGCTCCCCAGGCACAAACCTGCAGCTGTCAGCCCCATTTCACACTGCAGCTCCTCAGCAGGGTCAGAGCAGGGGCTGCTCCGAGCACTCAGCCTGGGAAATGCCATTTCTGCAGAGGGGAATATTCAGGACACATCCTCATAGCTGACTTCATCATTTTAATGTGCCAGCAGCCCCCAGCCTTCCCCAGGGCTCAGAGCCCCTCTGTGAGCTGGGAATATCAATGGAACAGCACAGAAATGTCTCCAGCAGCTCTCACTGGCATCTCCAACACCTCTGCTTCCTTTCCTGAGCTCCCAGGGGCTCCATCTGCACAGAAATCCATCAGTGCCCACCACTGCTTTTGCTTTATGAGGGTGGGATTTATGATGATGGCTCCATAAACAGGAAGCATCTTCTSGTTGCAATATAAATAACTTGTAAAGCGAGGCCTCGGAACGGTTCTGGTAAGGGATACTGATGCTCTGGGAAATGACAGAACATTTTTCTTCTGATTGCACTTTGCACCTTTTTTTCCTTTCTAAAAAGCAGTGCTGTGAGCTCTCCCCAGGAAGCTGGGAGGAGGAAGGAGAGAACAAGGGCATTAAATAGGACGTGATTGTTTCCCCTTTGTAGAGCAGCTGCTCATTGTATTTCACAAACTGAAATCCTTTCCTGCCTTTCCCACCACAGACCACGTCTCCATCGGGGGGCTCGGGGACAGCTTTTATGAATATCTCATCAAATCCTGGCTGATGTCAGACAAGAAGGACTCTGAAGCTAAAAAGATGTACGACGATGCCCTGGAGGTGAGGAGGGGGTGCTGCTCTGTGCTTTTGGGGGGTGGGTCATGGTTCATAAGAAGTTTCCAGATCTTCAGAATAAATCTGGATTTCCCTGGTGGAAATTCTGGACTCTGCTGTCCACTAAGTAACACTGAGTAAGTTTTACTTGCTGTCCCATGTCTTGAAATCCTGATTTTTGTCTTTTTAGGCAATAGAAAAGCATTTGGTGAAGAAATCTGCAGGAGGCTTGACCTACATCGCTGAGTGGAGGGGTGGCATCCTGGACCACAAGATGGGCCACTTGGCCTGCTTCTCTGGGGGCATGATTGCCCTGGGGGCTGAGTATGGCAGTGATGAGAGGAGRCAGAGGCACATGGAGCTGGCTGCAGAGATCACCAACACGTGCCACGAGTCCTACGCACGCTCAGGTACCTGGGCAGGCCCTGGGTTCGTGTTTTTTTGTGCTCTGAGCAATTCATGTGTGTGTTTCTGTGCCCTGAGCAGTCCCTGTGTGTGTTTCTCTGTGTGTTTCTCTGTGTTTCTCTGTGTTTCTGTGTGTCTCCCCACCAAGCCATCCCTCTGTATTTCTATGTGTTTCTCTGTGTGTTTCTGTGTTTCTGTGTTTCTCTCTGTGTTTCTCTGTGTTTCTCTGTGTGTTTCTGCGTGTGTTTCTCTGTGTTTCTCTGTGTGTTTCTCTGTGTTTCTGTATGTTTCTGTGTGTATTTCTGTGTGTGTTTGTGTTTTCTCTGTGTTTGTGTTTCTCCATGTTTCTCTGTGTGTTTCTCTGTGTTTCCGTGTGTTTCTCTGTGTTTCTGTGTTTCTCCCCACCGAGCCATCCCTCTGTGTTTCTGTGTCTGTTTCTGTGTGTGTTTCTCTGTATTTCTGTGTGTGTTTCTCTCTGTGTTTTTCTGTGTTTTTCTGTGTTTCTCTGTGTTCCTGTGTGTCTCCCCACCAAGCCATCCCTCTGTGTTTCTCTGTGTTTCTCTGTGTGTGTCTCCCCACCGAGCCATCCCTCTGTGTTTCTGTGTGTGTTTCTCTGTGTGTTTCTCTGTGTTTCTCTGTGTTTCTCTGTGTGTTTCTGTGTGTGTTCTCTGTATTTCTGTGTGTGTTTCTCTGTGTGTTTCTCCCCACCAAGCCATCCCTCTGTGTTTGTGTGTGTTTGTGTGTGTTTCTCTCTGTGTTTCTCTGTGTTATTTCTCTGTATGTTTCTCTGTGTTTCTGTGTGTCTCCCCACCAAGCCATCCCTCTGTGTTTCTCTGTGTTTCTCTATGTTTCTATGTGTCTCCCCACCAAGCCATCCCTGTGTGTTTTTTGCAGACACCAAGCTGGGTCCCGAAGCGTTTCGCTTCGACGCGGGCAGCGAGGCCATGGCCACGAGACTCAGCGAGCGCTACTACATCCTGCGGCCCGAGGTGGTGGAGAGCTACATGTACCTGTGGAGGCTCACCCACGACCCCAAATACAGGCACTGGGGCTGGGAGGTGGTCAAGGTAAGGCTGGAGCAGGCACAGAGCTCGGCAGGCTGCTGGGTTCCCACAAAAACCTGCCTTTGGGTCGGCGAAAGGAGCAGAAATTAAATTGTGTTATGGCACTGAGATCCATCAGAAATGCTCGAGGCTGGGTKGGATGGGGCTYTGAGCAGCTTGGTCTGCTGGAAGGTGACCCTGTGCATGGCAGGGCAGTGGAATTGGGTGATTTTTAAGGTTCCTTTTGACCCAAATGTTGTCAGACCCACGAGCAGGGGGGCAGGAGTGCACTGAGGGTGTTCTCCTGTCCCTTTGGGCTGCACTGCCATTTGTCACTCAGCCAKCTCGGGTTCTGCTGCTTCTCTGGCTGTCCCATTGGAACCAGCCTGAGCCCAAAGTCTGGAGTGACCCCATGCTCCTCAGAGAGTGACACAGGCTGCAGGAAACCTGGAGTTCCATTTGTAAATGGCCTGGAAGCAGCTGCTGCTGCTGAGAGGGTTCTCCCCTCTGCTGGGTGTTGTTCAGGGGTTTTTCCCCTCTGCTGGGTGTTGTTCAGGGGTTTTTCCCCTCTGCTGGGTGTTGCTGAGGGGGTTCTCCCCTCTGCTGGGTGTTGCTGAGAGGTTTTTCCCCTCTGCTGGGTGTTGTTCAGGGGTTTTTCCCCTCTGCTGGGTGTTGCTGAGGGTTTTTTTCCCCTCTGCTGGGTGTTGCTGAGGGTTCTTTGCCCCCCAGGCCCTGGAGAAGCACTGCAGAGTGGAGGCAGGGTTCTCTGGCATCCGAGATGTTTACACCACCACCCCCAGCCACGACAACATGCAGCAGAGCTTCTTCCTCGCAGAGACTCTCAAGTAAGTCCTGGGTCACAGGGYCCTTCCAGAGCAGCAGAATTCCTGCAGCATCTGCTTGATAAATCCCAGAAAAATGAGGGGAGGAGGTGTTCCCTTCCAGGGGGAAGGGGGCTGGGATGGGATGAGCTTTAAGGATCTCTCCAGCCCAGCCCATTTTGGGGGTGAAGYTGGGCAAGGCCAGGGTGCTGCCAGMTTTGGGGTTTGCTGCTGCAGAGCCACTGTTGTTCCCTGCTGTTGGGTCCCGCTCAGGTTTGCAGGACCAGAGTTCAGTGGGAAGGGCTGTGATTTCCTAACGAAGCAGTGATTTCCTAATGAATCAGGAATGTGTCCCCTGCACAGTGACAGCCACCACATSSTGCTGTCTGTGCCAGCCTGGGGTCYCTCCTGAGCATCCTTTAACCCTCTGTGTCCCTCTGCCCTGCTCCAGGTACCTCTATCTTCTGTTCTGTGAAGATGACGTGCTGTCCCTGGAGGATTGGGTGTTCAACACCGAGGCTCAYCCCCTGCCCATCAACCACACGGACTTTAAAGCAGCAGTGCAGCCCTGAGCTCTGCCCAGCTCCTGCTCCCCCAGCCTGGGCACACTCTGCTTTTCCTTTCCATTAAAGGAATTCCTGCTGTTCCTGAAATGGTATTTTTGGGGCACTAGTCCAGTTCCGGACAGTATTTTCTTGGGAAGATGAACCATGACTAAGCACCTTCTTTTCCTCTGTGAGGAGCTCTCTTAGGCTGATGATGARATGTTTATTCTGGGCCATACTGTACACAGTTCATAGACATTCCTTTATACAGAGAATTTATATGAAATCCACAGATTTTGCTTTATAGTGGCCAAAGGACTGGAAGTTTGCCATAAAATAGACTTTACACACACACAAACAGACATCCTCCTTTCCTTTTTCTGTTTCATTTCTGCCTTTTGTGTGCTGTTGATTGATCACCTCTCCAGTGAACAGTTTGCAGTGTTCTGTGCTTTCTGCTGCTGAGCTTTGGGGGYTCTTCAGGAGGGACAGGAGAACAGGGAAGGGGAGTTGTCCTCGGGCTGGATGAGGAGCCAGGAGAGCTCAGGACTGAAGAGAGGGCAGGGAAAGGTGATGTTTTAGTGGGAAAATCAGAGGATGGGACTCTCCCATCTCAGGGTGGAATTGGCAGTCCCTGCTCCTCATGGGGAGCTCAAATCAGCCTGATTTCTGCTCACGGGGAACTCAAATCAGCCTGATTTCTGCTC